GCACATTTTACCCATAGGCCTTCATGTTGGCAGTATGGGGTTATCAATGGATTGGAAGTGTGTGGTGGTGGTTGCCTCGCCATGGTGCGTCTTGCATTCCAGCTCAGCGCTCGCCACCTCATTGTCAGGTGCTGCTTAGACTCCATCTTCACTGCAATGTCTTCCATGCACGCAGATAGTGCCACTTAGTGGGAAGTGTTAATTTCTAATAAAGAATGTATTTCTCTTCAGTACTCCAGGTCAGAAGTTGTACTCACCTTCTTTGAAAGATCCCCGCTGGATCAAGTATTAAAAAACGACAACGTGCACAAAATTCAGTCTAGCTTTCAGAGTCCAGTCAAAATATCAGGTAAGACCTACTGTGGCAGTGCAGGAAAGTACTGCCATTGGAGGCTATGTTTCCCAGAAACTTCCCTAGTTTGTTATCTCAGTGGTTGGGCATACCTCTCCTTGGATTCCAGAAAAACAATCCAAGAGAATATGGAATTCGTGGAGTGAAAGACTACAACATCAGATTTCTATCAAAGTCTGTTTTCTGTAGACCAACCTGTGATTTACACTTTCGACTTGTAAAGGTTTTCCTTGGTACACGTAATGGAACCTAAGAAGTAATTTAATGAGACAAACACAGAGACATTTTGAAGGGAACAGTTGGAATCAACAAGCAAAAATCTGGCCTTGAATTTGGTTCTTAGTTTTGAGGCTTGTTGTGGGGTGCCTGCCATCAGGTCAATTCCAACTCTAGCAACTTGAAGTCCAACAGAATGAGACACTGCTTGGTCCTGTACCATCCTCACAATTGTTCTGTTTGGGCGGCTAGGATAAAAGAGGAAGTATAATTTCTTTTTTTAAAATCATTTTATTAGGGGCCCATACAACTCTTACCACCATCCATACATACATCAATTATGTAAAGCACATTTGTACATTCATTGCACTCCTCATTCAAGGAAGTATAATTTCAATAATGCTATGTGAGTAATTGAAACTGGACTGTGGTTGCTTGCACTATCGGGGCAAAGCTTCTTTGGTCAGGAGCAGGAAATGAATCAACGTTGACCGAAGTGACCATATGACCCACAAGCTAGATGACAAGGAAGGGAATTCACTTGGATTGGCAC